CACACACACACACACACACACACACACACACACACACACACACACACACACACACACACACACACACACACACACTCACAAACAAAGACAGAGACAAACACAAACACACACATACACTCTCACACACACTCACAGACATACAGACATGAACACACACTCACACACACACACACACACACACACACACACACACATACACACACACACACACACACACACACACTCACAAACACACACATAAACACACACACACACAAACCCACACATGAACACTAACACACATGCTCACACACACACACACACACACACACACACACACACACACAAACACTCACTCACGCATATACACACACATAAACACACACACAGGCACACACATACACACATAAACACACACACTCACAAAGACAGAAAAACACAAACACACACATGCACAAACACACAAACATACACTCTAACCCACACTCACAAACATACACACATGCACACACACACACGCACACATAAACACACCTGCACTAACAAACATGCATATGAACACACACATGAACACGCACACAAACACACGCACACACATGCACAAACACGCACAAACATGTACACACACTCACAAACCTACACATGAACACACACACACATGCTCACACACACACACACACAAACACAAGAACAAACATGCACAAGCACACACGCACAAACAAACACACACTCACAAACACACACATGAACACACACACACGCACACACATGCACAAACATGCACCAACATGCACACACACTCACAAACCTACACATGAACACACACTTGCTGACACACATGCTCACACACACACACACACACACACACACACACACACAAACACAAACATGCACAAGCACACACGCACAAACACACACTCACAAACATACACATGAACACACACACACACACACACACACACACACACACTGCACATATACAGTTGTGCTCATACGTTTACACACCCTTTTCACACCAATAAAGCTAGTGCTGTTTTCAATCTGCCACTATGCTGACACATCTGACATCTGTAGCTCCACCCTCTTCTGAAAAGAGCACATCTCATTTGCATTTAAAGCGACAGTCACCAAAACACCACAATTAGGATCAAAGCCTGAAAGGGAGCTAGAGAACATTAACTGTGTGATATTTTGAGCTCAAACACACACACACACACACACACACACACACATTAGAGACAGCAGATACTTATTTTACATCTCATAAAAAGTGCCATAAGAGGTCGAACATCCCCTCTGTATTTACATGGCGTTCTGTGTGTCGGCAGGTGAAGATCTGGTTCCAGAACCGCAGGATGAAGTGGAGAAACTCCAGAGAGAAGGAGATCAGCAACACACACACACACATGGAGAAACTGATGGACTGGAGTCAATCTGAACCTGCAGACGACACACACACACCAGCACAGAGCAAACACACTCACACTCACACACACAGATGATCCAGAAGAGAGTGTTCATTCTCAACATTACCACTCAAAAGGTCCAATGGTAACACATTATAATAATAATAAGGTGCTATTTCTTTAAGAGCAGGTCATATATAGTGTTTAAGTGTCCTAATGTTGTGTTGAGGCTACTACAAACAGCTTTAAGTGCATTTAGAGTAAGAAAACACTGTCGTTTTAGTAGAATATGTGTTTATTACACTGTAAACCCCAATAAGTTAAGGTAACTCAAACCTCTTGAGGAAACCGATGGCAACAAACCATTTAAGTTCAAAAACTGATCCTAAAGAGTGCTGTGAACTTAATCCATTCGAGTAAACGAAGCAATTTGAGTACAGTAAAACCCATCAAATGAACAGAACTCAAACCAACTGAGTACTGTGACACTCAATAAGTTAAGCCGACTCAAACCACTTTAAGGAAACCGATTGCTACAAACCAATCTATATGAGTACTGTGAACTTACTCCATTAAAGTTGAAGTAATGAGGTGTTTAATTAAGTCTTTACCTTCAACACTGAGCTCAAAACTCTTTTCAAATGAGTAGAACTAAATTTCAGTACATTTTGAGTTAACTACACTCATTTCATTTGATAAGGTGGACTGTTGGGTTTTACAGTAGATACATTAGAATCATACATTCATTTTCCTTCGGCTTAGTCCCTTTATTCATCAGGGGTCACCACAGCGGAATGAACCACCAACTATCCCAGCATATGTTTGACACAGCGGATGTCCTTCCAGTTGCAACCCAGTACTGGGAAACACCCACACACACACACACACTCGTTTAATAAATAATTAAATTGAACGTTCAATAAAAGAATTCACCTACCAAAATAAATAAATAATAAACAAACAAACAAATAGAAATATTAAATCCTAAATTTACTATGAACAAAAATAAAATGAAATGAAAAAATATGTATAATCATAGACGATCTGAATCATGTAAATCCCCTATAAAAATTAAAAAAAAAAAAATATATATATATATATAAAATAAACACTTTAAACAATAAAATAAATAACTGACAATAATTATTAATGATATTAGACGACCTAAATCATTTAAATACAAACAATGACATGAATAAATTTGTGTATTTTGAAAAAAAAAAGATTAAAATAGCAGTAATTTTAGAAATAAAAAATAAATGTGTACATACAAAATGTTCATTTATTCATTTGGTTGAGTCCTGGCTGGGTCAGTTGGTGTTTCTGTGTGGAGTTTGCATGTTCTCCCCGTGTTGGCGTGGTTACATGCGGTACAGGTAAATTGGATATGCTTAAAATTGTACGTAGTGTGTATGTGTGTGAATGTGAGAGTGTATTGGTGTTTCCCAGTGATGGGTTGCAACTGGAAGGGCATCCACTGCGTAAAACGTATGCTGGATAAGTTGGCGGTTCATTCCGCTGTGGAGACTAAGAGACTAAAAGAAACGTAATGAATGAATGAATTCACCTATATCCCATGTCTTTGGGCCGCAGCTTGTGTAATTATTAAGTGTATCTCATTATTATTACATGCTAACAAATATAAACAAATGGAGGAAATTATTATAAAGTGTTACCAAAATGTAAATAGTGATGTGCATTTTTCATTGACCTGAGAAGTATTTTTTGTAATGTTTTTTATGAGCTCTATAATAATAATAAAGTAAAAAACTCATGAAAATAAATTGCAAAAATATTGTGAAAATATGCCTTAAATCGAGAGGGGTCTGGATGCAGACCTGGTGCAGTGCAATCTGGGCCGCATCCAATGCTTTTTGATGCACTCACCTAACCCCGCCCCTAACCCTACCCCTCACAGTGACGTCACTCGCTCCATTTGACTGCATTGTGTCTGACATAGCATCGTTGAGTGATGCAATCTCAGCTTGCATCATAAAGGCTGCATCCAGATTAAATTTGCAAATGTAAATAATTAATTAAATTAGCTGATCTGATGATTGCAACTACTTGTAATAACAAGCATTTAATTTTTATCGTTCATAAAGTGTACACTGTATATTTTGAAGTATGTTTAGATGAGTATGTTTGCTTTTTAAATAATAAAATACATTTTAATTCACTTTTTGCATGCAAATCTATCATTTCCCACACTTTTCTGCACTTGTCATAAAAACTGAGACGCTAACGTGAGAAACTTAATCATTAGAGTCAGATCAATAGTCAAAAATATATAAAAGTTAATATCATGAGTCATAATTATAGCATTAAATATCAAAATTCTGATATGTTAAGTTTACATTTAAAAATGTCCGAATTAAAATTTATTAAGTTACAAAAGCTGAATAAAACAATCAAGAATGTTCAATAGCAGTAAATATGAGACAAAAATGACGAAGTCAACATGACGAGATAATGAATCCTAATTTTAAACTCACTATTAATGAAACTCAAACGCTACTCAGTTTTCAGACCACTAGAGGTCAGTGTCATGCAATAAATCTATTTAAAATCATTTTAAATAAAAAGATTTAAAATCAGGCGTTTATTACCATTTTTAAATCGTTTTGAGCATATAAATTGGGCATTTAAATTCAATGACAAATTCATTTTTATTTATTTACTTTTTAATTTCTTTATGTTCATTTTATTTTATTATTTTATTTGCTGTAATATGCTGACATTACTTTGATTTTCAGAAAGATTAAAGATCATAACACTGCTTAAAGTAAATGGCATGTTAATTCATTAATTTACAGTAATATGGTGACATTCATATGAGGATTATGCAGTTTTAAACTCATATTCTTGTGTTGTGTTGACTCAGATGCTGAACACAAAGCTGTGTGCGGTCAGAAAGTGTGAAAACAATCTGAGAAACTCGTTCCAGCACCACACACACAACACATATCTGGTGCTGAGCTGTTGTTTCTTCACTTTCAATAACACAAATCTGGGAAAACTGGGGCATTTTTTTCTGTGTGCGTCCGTTGTTATTGCTCAAGGGTCTCGAGAGGCGGCTGTTGTCTGGAAAAGGCTTCAGATTGTGTTTGAATGATTTCTTTTTTTCTGGTGGCACTTTAGAAAATGACGTGCTGTGAAGACGACAGCATTATTGTGTTTCATGAGCTTCAGTCCCATCAGCCACAACATCAATAACTGATGGACACACACACACACACACATCACTGCTGCACTGTGCACACACATACACGCAAAGACACTGCTGCATTGTCCACACACACACATACACGCACAAACACTGCTGCACTGTCTACACACACACACACACACACACACACACACACACACACTCTATAAAAATAACTATTACTACTCCATTAATTAATCACCTTAGAAACCACACTAAATATATTTGCAATATTTAGCAACCACCAAGCAATATCCTAGAAACCGTATAATAACCCTTTTGAAACTCTTTCTGCATTTGGAATCACATAGCAACACCCTAGATATGTCAAACTTCTTTTGAAACCACCTAGCAACACCCTTGCAACCATCCAGCAACATCTAGCAACCCAATAAGATATCCCAGCATGCATATAGAAACACTTATGAAGCTTAAAAAACTAAGCAGGGCTGAGTCTGGTCAGTATCTGGATGGGAGACCACATGGGAACATTAGCTTGCTGTTGGCAGTGGTATTAGTGAGGCCAGCAGGGGGCGCTTAACCTGTGGTCTGCGTGAGTCCTAATGCCCCAGTATAGTGAAGGGGACTCTATACTGTCAGTAAGCGCCGTCTTTCAGATAAGACGTTAAACTGAGATCTTGACTCATTAATAATCTGGCAACACCCTAGCAACAACCCAGCAACCACTCAGTAGTAACACCCTAGCAACCACTCAAAACACATTTGTAAGCACCTAGTAACACCATAGCAACATCTCAAAACAAAGGTACAACCATTTGGCTACACCCTAGCAACCACCCTGTGGTAACACCCTAGCAACCACTCAAAACACATTTGGAAGCACTTAGCAACACCATAGCAACATCACAAAATAAATGTACAACAATCTGGAAACACCCTAGCAACAACCCAGCAACCACCTAATAGTTACACACTAGCAACCACTCAAAACACATTTGGAACCACCTAGCAACACCATATGTTAAAACAAATGTACACCCATCTGGCAACACGCTAGCAACCACCCATCAACCACTTAGTAATAACACACTGGCAATCACTCAAAACACATTTGGAATCACCAAGCAACACCATAGTAACACCTCAAAACAAACATACACCCTTTTGGCAACACCCTAGCAACCACCAGGCAACCACTCAGTAGTAACACACTAGCAACCACTCAAAAACATTTAGAACCACCTAGCAACACTATAGCAACAACCCACAACAAAAGTACAACTATCTGGCTAAACCCTAGCAACCACCCAACAACCACGTAGTAGTAACACCCTAGCAACCACTAAAAACACATTTGGAATCACCTAGCAACACCATAGCAACTTCTCAAAACAAAAGTACAACCATCTGGCAACACCCTAGCAACAACCCAGCAACCACTCTGT